TGCTGCAGCAGAGCCCCCCACGCCCACCCGCAACAAACTCGACGCCTTTCGCTCCGTTATGCTCTTCTTGTGCTTCTGCGTGCCCCTCGCCTTCCTTGCTGCTTCCGTCGTGGAGCCGCGGCTCGCGCTGCTGCTGCAGCAGCAGCTCTTTCTCTTCCTTTCCTTTTGCTTCTTCCTCATCTTCTGGGTCTTCCAAATTGCTGCAGCCTCCCGCGCCGTCAAGCAGCACTTTTCTCTCCGCCTTTGCCTTTGCTGCCGCGTCTTGCTGCAGGCGGCTCGCCTGCAGTCTTGTCTGCGCCAGATCGCCCAAATCCCCGGCACCACCAGCACCAGCACCAGCACCAGCAGCAGCAGCAGCAGCAGCAGCAGCAGCGGTTTCGCGCTGCTGCTGACCCCCGCGGACGCCGAGACCCTCTTCTTGGTCGTCCCCGAGTTCTTCCTATTTGCTGCTTTCTGCCTTCTCGACTCACAACCAGTGAGCCCCCGCTGCTCCTGCTGCTCCTGCTGCTCCTGCTGCTGCTCCTGCTGCTCCTGCTGCTCCTGCTGCTCCTGCTGCGGAGGCGCCTTTGCTTGCCAGCCTCGACCCAGTACATGCAATGAATTCGATCAGAGTAATTGAATTTAACTAATTGCATGCGATTAATTTGATTCAATTAATAACAAATTAATTCACTAATTTAATTGAGTGCATCCAATTATTTATTCTTAATTTTTTAAATTTGTGAAATTCAGTTGATTCAAATTGCCTCCTCCAGCTGCTTTTCAAGGCCACGCAGAGTCAATTCGAATTAAATGTTGAAATTATAAATAAAATAAATATAATTATTGATTTTAAAATGCAGTCCAAATGTTTGATTAAATGCTGCTGCTGCTTCCGAACTGCTGCTGCTGCTGCCAAACTGCTGCTACTGCTGGGCATTTGCGGCGTTCTTAGCTGACCCTATTGAGGCTCGCCGTGGGCCCGTGTTTGCTGCGTCTTTTTGCTGTTTCTGCTGCTGCTGCTGCTGTTCAGTGCAGCAGCAGCAGCAGCAGGCTGGTTGGGGAGCGGGTTTCTGGTTTCTCGAGAAGTTGCCGGCTTTTGTTGATTCCCAAGAGTTGCATTTTGTTGTTTGGCGAGATTTAATTAATCAAATAAATAAAAAGTTTATTTGATTCTCGATTCAGTGAACTATTTGCTGCTGTGCTGCTCAGGACCGCCGTGCTGCAGCAGCAGCAGCAGCAGCGTCGCCAGAAGCAGCAGCATCGCTCTTCAGCCGCCTCACCTTCAGCTGGACATACACCCTAATCAAAAAGGGAGAGCAGCAGCCGCTGCAGCCCAGCGACGCCTACGAGCTGCTGCCCAGACACACCTCTCAGGTGCTGCTGCTGCTGCTGTTGTTGTTGCTGCTGGTGCTGGTGGTGTTGCTGCTGGTGCTGGTGGTGTTGCTGCTGGTGCTGGTGGTGTTGCTGCTGCTCGTGCTGTGTTGCTGCTGCTAGTGCCGGCGCTGCTGCTGCTGCTGCTGCTGGTGTTGTTGCTGCTGGTGCTGGTGCTGCTGCTGGTGGCGTTGGTGTTGCTGCTGCTCGTGTTTTTGCTGCTGCTGCTGGTGTTGCTGCTGCTGCTGTTGGCGGTGTGGCTGTTGCTGGTGTTTTTGGTGTTGCTGCTGCCGCTGCTGCTGTTGGTGTTGCGCAGTAGTGCAGCGGCTTCTGATGCTGCTGCTGCTGTTTCATAGCTTCTGCTGCAGGTGGTGCCGCTGTTGCTGCTGTTCCGCAGCAGCAACAGCAGTTCTCAGCAGCAGTTCTTTATCTCCCTCTTCTGCTACTGCTTCTCTCTCTCCTCCACCTGCTGCTGCTGCTGCTGCTGCTGTAGTTTCATATGTAATTCATATTTGTGGGGCTTTTGAATTTGCTGCGCAGTATCAAACACAGAAGCTCATGGCTGCTTGGGCTGCTGAGGAGCGGCGGCTGCAGCAGCAGCAGCAGCGGCAGCAGCAGCAGCAGCAGCGGCGCGCAGCTCAGTCCACCGCTGCAGCAACGCGCAGCACAACTGCCACTCCTTTGAGCTGCCTTTCGACAGCAGCAGCAACAGAAGCAGCGACGGCGCTGTTGTCGGACTCGGAGCGAGACCACAGCAGCAGCAGCAGCAGCAGCTGCAGCAGCAGCAGCAGCAGCAGCAGCAAAGTGAGCCTGCTGCGCGTGCTCGTGCGCGCTTATGGCCTCACCTGCTTGGGCTCTGCCTTTTTAAAACTCATTTATGATTTGCTGCAGTTCGTTGGCCCTTTGGTGTTGAAGCAGCTCATCCACTTCCTCCAAACCCCCGAAGAAAAGTAGGGTTTAGGGTTGAGGGTTTAGGGTTTAGGGTTTAGGGCTTAGGGTTTAGGGTTTAGGGTTTCGCAGAAGTGCTGGAGAATGGGTATGGTTGAATGCTGCAGCAGCAGGAAAGAGGGTTTGTGAGGGTGGTGCTACTGCTGCAGCGTGTGGCTGTTGTTGCTGCGGCTCGTGCGTGTGCTGCTGCAGCTCGCTGCTGCAGGGCCTGGGGTACTGTTTGCTGCTGCTGCTGTCCTCCGTGCTGCAGACGCTGCTGCTGCACCAGTACTTCCACCGGCAGCTAACTCTGGGGCTGCACATGCGGGTGGCTTTGACGGCCCTCATTCACCAAAAGGCCCTCAAAATCCAGCACATCAGCACCCGCAGCAGCAGCAGCAGCAGCAGCAGC